TCTTTTCCTGCCCCTGCCACTAGGAATAGTTTGCAAAGGGAAATCAAATGAACACATTTAGCATCACTGGGAAAACTTAAGACTACTGCAAATACAGTGTATGGTGCTTCATCTTCTTGTTTTGCTCTTAGTTAAGCATCCTAAAGATTTTATATTGTGTTATTTTGCAAAAGAGGTTGTAAAGCTCAATGAGATTTTCTGATGCTAAAATAAAAGTTAAATAAAAATGGAGCACAAAAATAAAAATGCACAACGCAACATGTTCATTACTCTTTACTATATAAAGGATGAGAGTAACAGTTCTTAATAGCATTTTTTTTTATTGTTTTCTCCCTAATCAGTTTTAAATTCAGTCGACAAGTACAGTCTTATGAAATATGTCACGAGAACATAAAAATGGAAGATACCATCAGCTACAAAATATAGCAGTGATTTAAAAAAAAAAAAGGGAAAATTGTAAAATAAAAGTTATACAGGGGTCATAATTAACTGAAGTAAGACGTAGTGTTTGTACATTTTTGTAAACAATACACGTATTTTAAACAACATGGAAAATAAGTTGTGGAGGAGACAGCAGGCTGAAGTGAAGAGACTGAACACTGGTTGGCATGAAACATTTATAGAAACCCTTACGCAACGTCTTCTTAATGGCTCACATAAATGTCATGTACACATGTTTAAAAACAGCCATACAGAATCATGACTTTTCTTTCCCCAACATACAACAGCACCTCTGCTACATACATTAGACTTCCACTCCTTTGTCCCTGGTTTACTGTGATGAGGTATATGTGAGGCAAATTCTTGTTTACACCTCAACATGGCAACATATTATTAAAGATAATGCAGCATTGCATTCACTCTGCCATGTATTGTGATTGCTTAAAAACAACAAACAAACAAAACAAAAAAAAAACAAAAAACAGGCCATTAGGGCAGAAAGGGGTTTAATGACTCATCCAGCAGAGTGATATCGTTTCCAGCACAGCTATGGAAGACAGCGCAATTATTGTTGTCTTGACCAAAAAAAAAAAAAAAAAAAAAAAAACAAAAAAAACAAAAAAAAAGCATAAATACATTTAAAAGTCAGCAAGAAATTACATCTAACATTTACTAGACAATATCTTGCACCTGTACATATCAGAAATAGGCACCCAGTCTCTAATGGGACAAATATGCTCAGTCCTGCCAGCACGCATGTAAAATCTAAATGCATACAAATTTTTGGTCAGCCACCTTTTTGCTCACACTGCATATGGCTGCCTGAGTAACAGCTCAAAAAATGCTTGATCACTAACACACTTTGTCATCAACTTCAATAAGAAAGCAAAGCTGCTACATTGCGTAACACATCAAACTAAAACTAAGGGTTTGAATTACATTTACATTATCCCACTTACATGTTACTGTATTTTAAAACCCCCACATTCATGTATCAATCCTCCCTCCAGCACCCTTTCACCCAGCAAAAATCATGCTGCCCAAACACAAGGTATTCCTGTCATCAAGCCGCAACATGTTCGAAACCAATCTGCATATGCTCAAAAAGCAACATGTCTCTGTCAAAAGAGCTAGTCCGGTCCTGGATGTAAGAAAACGGCTCAAAGTGCTAACTGGATTCTTTTTAAGAAATCAGAGAAACCAAGGAAGAAGAGAAGGGCAGAAAAAGGAGAAGACCGTTCTATCACTGTCCAACAGCAACCTCTATTGGCCAAAGAAAAGCCCTAACATCACTTCTGTTCTCCCAAAATACACCAAGGACCAGAACCCCTAGAACCAGCCCTCATTCTCCCTCTACTTCAACTGTTCCCCAAATGATTAAATCTGTTATTATACATAATATATATATTTTTTATAAATATATATAGAGATATAGATATAGATATGGCCCTTATTGAAGAAAACATGTTTCACATTGACACCAAAGTACCGTAATCTCTATACAGCCAAGTAGAAAGTGTTTCAGTGTTCAAGTGAGCTGGCAGCAGTCTAGGTTACACTCATTCAACAAGTAATAAAACATAAGAAAAATCCTCTTTGACATCACAAACAAAACAAAACGACTGCTCAATGCACCTCGCAGGCTTCTCCTTGACCACTTTTTCCTGAGTAATACTTTTAACCTTGTAACAGATTTTTTTTTTTTTTTTTTTTTTTTTTTTTTTCAGTTCGTGGCGCTCCCTCCCCACTAGAAAAGACATACATCCAGCCCTACTCTACACTTGCTTTAAAAGGTATTTATTTTCTGATCATGATTAATGACCACAGCTGATGTCACTAACATGACAAGAAGTCAACATTTTTAACTTAAAAACATTTTTAAAAAGCATTTGCTGAAAGCCTTGCAGGCTTTAATGTTGAGAAAGGTGGGCACAAGAACACAGCATCAGTATAATTAAAATAAATGTCACTTAAAAAATAATAATTAATATAAAATAGGAGCAAACAAAATTTAAATAAGATCACCAACTTTAACAACAGAGTGTTCGCTCCCTCTCAGGCTCTCATCTGTAGCTTTGGCTTGTCGGAGTTTTGGAACCTTTACTTGCTGGCTCATTGACATCTGATAACAAACTACTATACCCTGAGAATTCAGACACAGGTGTTGGTATCCTGTGATCCACCTCCCCGCTAGAGTCAGTTCCATAGGACAAGCCACGGCTGTCCGTCTTGAACTGGGAGCCAAAGGCTTGGGCAAAGTTTTCTATCTGGTAGGAAGACTTTGAGGAGTCCAGAGAGGCCAGATCCTGCGAGGGGGCCAGAGGGTAGACCACTGTGCCGTTCTTGCCCGGCAGCTGGCTCTTCTGGCTGCTCAGGTCAGATGGGCTGATCTGGTAGGAGGAAGTGGGGGTGGAGGAGTGCTGCTTCTCCATCTGGTCAGTGAGCTCTTGAGAGGGGGTGAGCTGCTGGTGTGTGGAGGGCTCCAGGCTGCTCAGGTGGAAGCTGTGCTGTGGTGAGGAGCCTGTCAGCATCGCAAAGTGAGACTTTGGCACAGAGGACGGCAGCGAAGGCGATGCCACCGACTGGCCAAACCCACACTCCAGTGGCAACGTAGTGTAGATGTTCTTGTCAGCATAGAGGGAATTTCCTGGGTGAGAATTGGTGAACGGTCCTGAGGCTGGGGGCCCAGGGCCCAGAGTGAAGCTGTAACTGTGGCTGGTGCGCTCTAAAGCCTGCAGCAGAAAACGGGAGTACTCATTCATCATGACGGTCTTGTCCCCTGAAGGGCTGGGGGTGTTGGGGTTGTGGCCGATGTCAGGACCATCATCTGATGTGGGGTTCAGTTCCACATGCTGGTCGCTGATGTCAAAGTGCATATCATGGTGTGAGCTGTCGGGTTTCTGGGTGTAGTGGTCGAGGAGGCTCTGCAGCACCTCATCTGGGATCCCTGACTTGTCAAGACTCACAGGTGTGTCGCTATCCATCACACTGGAAATAACACCCTGGATGACAGATGGCTGGGAAGACAAGTGAACATTAACATCATATTCATTGCTGGATGCTCCAGTTACTGCAGGCACTGATGAGTTTGTACTATTTGCTGCATGAAGGTAGCGTCTCTTCTTCAGAAACTGCATGGCTTCGTCATAGTTGCTGCTGGTGCCGGCTTTAGCCCCGTTACCCTGCATGAGGCCAAGTCCATCAATTGCCCCACCATGCTCTAGTGGACCTGCTTTGTCCTGTCCCACACCCACCTTATCCAGGCTTTTACGGTTGGCCTTCTTGAATGCAATCTTTGGAGCTCGTCCGTGGTGGCCCTGTTGCATGCTGGGCCCAGTAGAAGAGGACACTGTTTGATTCTCCACAGAGTATTCATGGATGCTGTAGCCTCCAGATACAGCCCCAGGAACATGAGGTACCCTCACCCCTCCATCTCCCTTCTTCTTTTTGTGCTCCCCTCCATCTCCAGAATTTTTGGACTTCCCCCTCTTTCTCCCGGTGCTCCCAGCATTTCCCTGAGTGATTCCATAACCGCCATGTTCCATGTCGACACAACCCAGGTCCATCATCCCCGGATCGAGCCCCTTCTTTGTGGCTTCCCCACAGGTTCGTTTGTGCTTCAGCAGTCGGTCTGTCCTAGAAAAATACTGAAGGGCACCAAGTGCCTTTGAAGTAAATGCTATAAAATAATTTTAAGCAATGGTTCCAAGCAATGGTTCTAAAGTACAAAGTATCCCTTACATACCCTGCAAAGAGGATGATGTAATAGGTTCACTAACCTGTTGGCAGGTCTCACACCTGTACGGTTTTTCTCCGCTGTGCGTCCTCTTGTGCCTCTCCATGTGGTACTTCTGAATGAAACGCATGTTACACTGGTCACAGCTGAAAGGCTTCTCCCCTGTCACAACAAACACAGCACAGCTCCAGGCTAGTTATCTTGCAGTTTATTGGAAACGCAGCTTGCATCAGGCTGATGATACGAATGACTGTTGCTAAATCACTCACCACTGTGGATTTTCTCATGTCGCTGGAGAAGATACTTCTGAATGAAACTCATATTGCACTGACTGCATCTGAAGGGTCTTTCACCTGCAATAAAACCACATTAATTTACAGTTACCATGTTGTCTTCCACTGATGGTCATTACCCTCCTTGTGACACGGTTATCTTGGATCAGTGTAAAAACGCCAGCACAATGTAATGCAATTATAAGAATTTCCTGCTGTTTTTTCACACAGGTGTCGACCCATGTCTGTGGTAATTCTTTGGACCATTGCTAACCCAACACTAGACACACATGTCACCAAAAGCAACAGAGAGCTTTGTATTTCACAGGAATTCATGCCATTGTGGTCACCTCTTGATGACATACCACCTTTTACGCTCTCACTTTGGCCTATAAAGGCGCAGCCAATTGTTTTCACAGACATATGAACAAAAATTTTAAATATGCCTAATATCATAATCAAATCATTTTTATAACATAACTGAATTTAATGGCTATAAATCTGTTTAATTAGTTAAATGAAGCTGTGAAAAGAGCTCTAAAATGGGCAGCATAAATACACGCAAAGTCATTCTGGAAGGCTAAATTAAATAAACTGTGCATGATCTTGAGATGATATTTCACCTTTAAAAATCAATTTTCTAAATCACTGAACTGGCATATTAACAGAAATGGGAAAGATCAGGTTGAATAAAGAAAGCAAGAGTGCTCCTCAGATGAGGACATCAGTCCTGTGTGGAGTCAGGGCAACAAAAACGATTTACAACTCGGACAAAACCAAAAAATAACAACAATACTACTAATAATAATGTAGCAATAATACTGTAGATCAGGTGATACATATTAGTTTTTATAAACAATGAACATTATTCTTCAACACACCTTACCAGTGATTAGAAAACATTTTCACTGCTCCACAAAGTTTGAGCCTACAGAGCTGCTGCCCCACACCCTCCAGTAAAAGCTGATCTGAGTCTCATGCTTTTGCCTTCGTTTCTCATTTTTGATGTGAAAACATCATTTACCCACACTCACAGAAGAAAAGTGTGTCCTAAACATAGCTCAGATACAACATCCTAGCACAGCACAGAGTGTTTATCCAGGAGAAGACTCCGCCACATGAGGCAACAGTACAGAAGGTTGTGACAGCGTCTGGTTCAAAAATAAACTTAGCTGACTTCGCTAACATTGAGCACCGGAGCTGAGAACACTGGTAGAGCAGCTCCATGACAAAGCACATTTGTCCTGCTGCTGTCAAGTTGCCATCCTGGTTAGGTCATTTTAGAGATGCACTGTTTGATTGGTGGAGATTGGAAATGGCCCGTTCAGATTCTGTGCCTATCAGATTTAGGGGCACAAGCCAAAAGTGTAGCGTGTGCAGCACGTAGCATCTTGTGTGCACCTCGAGCGAGGTTGGAGCTCATGTCTGTACCAGAAGTACTGGAAGCACTTGGTGTACAAACAGTGCACAGAGGAGCCTACAGAAACACATTGGAGAAGGAAAAGCTACGTCCAAATCTCTGACAAATAGTAAACAGTGAGGGAATTATTGGCTACACAGGAAATATGTGTATATGTACAGTGTATCCAACCCGTGGTACAACACAGCAAATACAAACTAGACAAACTTTAAAAATAACCATGTGCTCAGTGGGAGTGATGTAACAGACATTCTTCTGTTTCTATTACCTGTTGCACGTGTTCAAAAAGAAGAAAAAGTGCAACGACTTAACTGACAAAATGTAAGATGACGTGGCGACTTCTCAAGTGATTAGTCCAACCTTCGACTTTTAGTGGGCAGCACTACACCTGGCCTGTCTGCATGTGAAACCACGTGAGTCTCAGTAACTATGTGGCAGACCAAAACACCGCACAATGTTGCCCTCAATGACCAGAGTTGACTATGGACAAGCCACAGTGCTACTGCTTCTTCAATGTTAAACAACCTGAGATTGTACAAAAACTGAGAGCTCGTTCCAGGACAGAGAACTATCTGAAGATAATGTTGGATAATTCGTACAAGCAAGACTGCCAACATTAAGCCAAGATTTAGTTTCTTCAGATGGCGTATTGATGGAATCAATGTTTCTCTATTTAGTGCCGACTGTGCTATTGGCGAAATAATGGTAATAACATTCATAAGCACAAAGGGAGAAATATGAGCATTGTGGTGGTAATAAGCACATACCTGTGTGAATGAGGACATGTCTGCGCAGGTGATAGGAGCTTCTGAAGGATGCAGTGCAGTGCTCACAGGTGTGAGGCTTAGTTCCTGGTGACAGGCCGGCTCCATCTGCATCCAGCAACACTGGCTGCTGTGAACCAAAGGATTCAGTCAGCGTTCTTCAATGTCTTCTTTGCATTTGCACAACTTAAGCTGCCCTTACTCCACATTCATGGTGTCATATTTTCCCCAACACAAACAGTGCCTAATATACTTTAATTTTTTTGTGATAATCACTCAAAATATTATATCAGTTATTATCAGTTCAGTGTTAAACAAAACAGTTTCACTATTTATACAAAAATATACAACAAAACTCAAAAAACTACGATACAGTCTGTTCAGTTCAGTTCAGAGGTCTTTTTCACTGAAAGTCTATGTATGCTTGTAAATCCCTGAAAATATTAATCCATTACAAAAAAGTGTTACGGTCTATGTTCCTATTAAAAAAACATTATATATTACCCGCTATGGAATGCCTAATGCATGTCCAGTAGAAAAACAATAAAATATTATAGCCTATTTTGAATATCAGCAAAACACATGAATTCACTTCTTTTCTTTCTTGTAGTAAGTAAATGCTGAGGTACATACAGTAACTGAGTGTGGTAAGGACTTAAAATGCCATATTCACAAATATAAATAGATGACAAACCTTTCCCTCACTTCTCTTCTTTCTTGGTTTACCCTCTTGTCCATCACCGTTTGACCGTCGACCTTTTTTCCCAGTGGGCTCCTTTCCTAACTGACTCGGCAGCTGTGAGGATCACAAAGGGAGAGGGAGGTGCCCGTGAGAGCGAGAGATGACAAGGAAATGGGTGGATTTATCTAACAGACAAGTCCAGAATCATTGTTTGTGGAAGCAAATAAAAACACTCAGACGCATGGTGCAAGATGTTTCTAGTGGGCATCCAAACCAAGTGTGAAATCTTCGGCCCATTCATTGATAAGTAGCCTGTATTTCTGATAGAGATTTTCACCCATCCCTCTAAACTAAATATTCAAAATGACTCCACTTCACTAAACCTCATCACGGGCAATCTGTGTGGGTCATTAATTCAGAAAAGAAGAAAAACAGGTTCCTGACTCCCCCTTTGTTCCTTCTGTTGACCATCCTGCACTGCTGTTTCTTTCTCAGCTAACACACTGCTCCACACTGCCATATGGAGACTGACAGGGCAAATGTGGGTGCACCTGCTGTTTTTAAAATCAGCCTAACTTTGAAGAGTTCGGCAGATGAAATACTTGTACACACAAGGAGTGAATTCAGAGCGGGAATACTCACAACAATTAGGGAGGGAAAAAAACCTAAATGAATCAATTATTTTTATAATCAATTACTTAAAACATGTTTCAATCAAAATACCAAATACTAGACAGTTCCAACTACTCCCTTGTTGTAACTGATGCTATTCACTGTTTTCTTGGCGGAAGCAAGAGGCAGCTTTATGAAACTGTGATCGACAATGGCAAATCAATCGCTGTTACAGCCCTGAACTGAATACCTTTAAATTTTGGATTATTGGTTGGACAAAACAAGAAATTTGAAGCAGACACTTTACAAAATCTAGAATAATGTGATGGTACTTTTTGACTGTTGTTACCGAGCATTTAAAGAGCCCATGACACGCTTTTCCTTGTTTTTTGACTTATCTACAATGTTACAAGGGTGAATTATCGTCTTAGACGTGACCTAAAGCTCAAAAAATTAGGTGTTTGCATGTTCTAGTATTTCTATACAGAAGTAATTTGGTTTATACACATCTTGCCAATGCTTGTTCACAAGACTTTTTACTAACAAAATAAAGTATTACATGATCGTTTAAGGATTAAAAAAAAAAGTACACATTGCATATCTGTTAATGCCTTGTTTCTGTAACATTAGAGAGAATTGTTGTAAGGCTGGAGATGTTACTACATCTGCATTATGCCAGTTAAAATATGGGGCTTCTCAACTACCTGCTTTGTTTAGAGTGTTACACATCTCTTTTCATCGGTTCATATACCATTGTTTACCTATCTATGGAGGAGAAATTCATATTAATTAATGTTCAATGCTCAATATTCAAATATTCACCGATTATTAGTCGTGAATCTCTGAAAACTGCCAGTTAGGACAGCCCTGAAGTGATGACAAGAATGTGTTCTGTTCGTCAGTAAACTTGTACCTAGAGCCCTGATGACCTCTGATGCCTGGCTAGTGTTAGGAGAGTATGGACATGCGTATTTCTATTTGAATGAGCACAAAAGGCGTCTGAAATGAAGTGCAAGCAACAAGCGAGCAAGACAGCTGTGGCCTTGCTCAGACATTTTCATTCACACTGAGGCTGGATAACATCACCCTTCTACCGAGAAAGAGTAACAGAAGGAGGGAGGGTGGGCTCATTTATGTTTTGCATTTCAAGCTGTCAGTAGATTTATGCGGCTTCATCAGGCTCCTCCCTCCCAGGGTTTTTAAAATACAAGCTGCTTAACAATTGTTTTTGGGGACAGGACAAGCTAATATAAGAAATTTGATCTTATTTGAATATGTGGGTGTATACAGCTGATATTTAGATACACATTTGCCCTGTCCACATAATTTTTTAAGCAGAAATTTCTCACATTTAAAAACTGTTTGGTATTTTGGCTTGAAACTGACTATCAATATATTGGCAGATTAACTTCTTTAGATCAACTAACTGAGTAGAACAATTAACTGACTAATCCTTTAAGCTCTAAACTCTACTGGAGGACTTGTACCCACTTGTCAGCCAAACATCTATTCAAAATCAACAAAACTAACTCCCCTACATATTCTGATTTCCTACAGTATCAGTGGTACTTACGCTGTCCATGCTGAGGTCATGTACCACTAGACTCTGGTTGTTACCGACTGTCACTTCCAGCAGCTCTGTGCTCTTCCCCAGCCCTCCAGGGTAGAGTGGCAGGCGGTAATCATGCTCGGACAGCTTCTCCTGCTTGATGCCCATGGCATGAATATAATCGCCCACCCCTGCACAGCCCAGGGTGCCCCCCTGGGTGTCCATGCTGCAGTCAGGTGAGTCACGCTCTTTCTTCAGGATCATTTCTTGCGGTGGAAGGTCCTGCATGACGGAGTGTGCAGCCAGGCGGGTGAAGCTGGTCACGGGGGGGAGGTGACTGAACATAATCATGCCAGGGGCAAAACTGGATTCCATGCTCCCATTGGAGCGCAGGAATTCATTGCCTAGTTTGTCTTGAATGATGTTCATGGTGAAGGCCAGCAGGCAGGAAAACTACGAGGTGGCAATCAGTGTCATCCTGTAAGAATTGGTAACAGGTAAGTGTACTGTGTAATTTATAAAAACATGCACAAAAAAGTCCCAATTAATTTGTGAGGATACACAAATATTAGCCAACAGACAACAACTGTGAAGCCAGTTCAAGTCAACTCTCTTGAATCAGCGTCACAACCTGTGATCTCACAACTGGCTGCTTAGTCGGATTAAAACCGTTTTTTGGTCAAGAAAGGGCTACAGTCTGGCACGATGAAAATCAGAAACGAGCACAACACTGTGAAAAGTCACTCTGCTTGATTACAGCATGTATGTAAATTATTTTACTTGGTAAAAAGGTCAGCGTTCTGGCAGTGCCAGACACAACATGAGATGGGGAATGACGGGACTGATATTGTGTGTTAATCTGGTTGATGGAACTGTGTGCCCCAGTCATCCTATTTACATGAGCTTATCTGCCAATGAGAGTGCACTCAGACTGCATTAGTAAGACTGGTGGCATAATTATGTGGCTGGTACATAAACAAATCGAGTGTATGTAATGTAATATTTCTAAATACGATGCTCAATATGGGTTGTTTAGATGCTGTTTTTAAATGAACTCTAATTAGCTATGACCAAAGGAAATTATCTGAGGGTGATATAAAGTCATAGGACAATGTCTTTAAAATCAGTTTTCATTCAAATGTATCAGTCAAGATTTATCAAAATCATGACTGTATGTTTATATAATTTCTGGCCACTGTGTGAAGGACCCATCCAGCGCATCCGATGCCAAATGCCTTTAGCTTTGGTAGTGGGCTAGCAGCAATAACCTACTCTGCTAATAAAGAGCCAATTAAAAAAAAAAAAACAAAAACAAAGACCTCAGTTACTCCGACTAAATCCAGTCTTTCCAAACGAGTTTCATCAGTCAAACAATGCACTGAGTAAACCCCGTGGCCTGCGGATCTACATGAAAAACACCATGCCTGTTCGCTACTCATTTAGCTACCAAGCTAACCATCTGGCTAACCACTTTTGTGGGGCCCTTCTTCTTTGTGATGCAGGATCAGGCAATAATTAATACGGTCATGCAATAGCAGCGCTGGTGAACATCAAAACCGAGCAAAAGTGCCCAGAAAACCAGCACAAGCCCAAGAGATGTCTGTGCTCTTAAACCGTGTAAATAAAGTTAGCGTTGTACTTTTATAAAGAGCTGAAATTAAAGATTAGCGATTTTAGTGGCAGATAACGCCACACAGAAGCGCTGCACAAGATAAACTAATAGGCGAAATATAATCAAGGATGAACTGCGTTTTTCTCTTGACAAATAACAGAAACAATATGACCAACTTATCTTAATTACATATACTTATTGTTGACCGTTTTCTCCAAGTTGTTGGCTTCGTTTGCAGGACAGTGAGCCGACAGTAGGTGATGGAGCGACAACACAGGCATGACCCATAACAAACGGCCCACACAACTCCAGCGAACAATGATGCTCGTACAACTAGCTGAGGCGGCTAACGTAGCAGCTAACGTGCGCTCCGCTTTGTCCCCTACGAGAAGTGTAAACATGACACCGAGCGACCGACTCCGCAGAAGACTGTGAATTTATGAATGTCTCTTACCGGTGCAGGACCATGACCTACTGCTGCGGCTCGTGTAGTTCACCCTCAGCTGTCCGTTTCGATATCTAGAGCCAAAACATTGTTCTCCCGCAGCTGCTGGGTTCTTCCATCTTGCCTCGGCGCAGAGGATTCTGGGTCCCGCAGCCGGACACGTCCTGAACATAGATGCAATAATAAAAATCTCATAGGCGTTAAAATTGTTATAATTGCGATTCCTATCGGAATTATGCTGTTAGGAAATTGCTATTTTGACCAACACTAGCTGTAAAAATCAGGATCTTTGTTTTCTGCAAACACAACCGACATCAAAAGTCACAAACGCACTAATAAACACAAGGAATTATTTCATTTCAGGTGAATAATTTTAAATATAATATGCAATATATGTATAGAGTTAATATGTGCACAAAATAACACATTAAAACAAGGTACGTGCACAATTAGCAAATTTTTCTTTTAAATGCCCAAATAGTCTCATACCATTATGTAGAGTGACTGTTTTCCGAGTGGCACAACATTTCACGTTATTGGATTATTATCACAGTAGTGTTAACATGAAAGCAGCATTTTAATGTTGTGGCTGGTTGAGGCACAGCTAATTACTGAATATATTGGTGAGTTGTTTCACCCCACAATAACACCACATAATGTTGTCTCACAAATAAAATCCTAATCAGAGTAAGATCTCAAAAAATGTAGTGAGCAGTGTTTAATGTAGCTACAATATTTATGTATGTAATATTATTTATGTGGCAGAGTTCAAATGACATAAATATGAAATGTGAAATACAAGTGCCTCAACACTTGAGTAAATATACTTAGTTGCTCTGCACCACTGAGCATAGGTTGTTTATGCTTTAATGTAAAGAACATACAGTAATACACAGTGCTTTGTATTGATGATGTTTGTAATGAAATGATGGTTTTGGCAGATCTTTTCAGATCACAGCACCACAATAACAGAGCAATCTTGGACCTGCCATTCAGATAACCATGACAGATGTACTACTATGACAGTGAAGCTCTAAGATCTGTGAATGCATTACTACATCTAAAAGCACATTAGAGTCAGGCCTCGCACCTCCACTCCTAACTGGCTTTGCTAATGAACTATTTAATTCATAAAATAAGGAATAATTGAAATGCAAACAGTAGAGTAATGCAAAAAATGTCAGTGAGTCATTTTTATGTGCCTGATCCTTTCATATGTCCATGATAACAAACCACATGGCTGGCAGTGGCATTTTTGGAATCATGCTCAGCTTGGTCTGTTTAAATATGTATGAGAAATTTATTACAGCTGTTATAATGAAGAAAAGCACATCATCATCTGCCACCTGATAACAACACCAATATCAGAGAACCGGCCTGCCTTTGGCATTTTTAGTCAGTTCAAACATGTAGCAAAAATCCTGTAAAGCTACAGAATAAACATGTAAAAAGCTCCTAAGACATCCTGTAATTGTGGTCTGATTACAGTGTCTTCTGAAACTAATATGCCAATCTAAACTGAGATTTGAAAATGTCAAAGTATGGCTCAACCTCCCACCAGTCCCTACTATCAGCTGAGTATTTTGGACATTAAGGTCAGAGACAATATGAGTCCTGTACTTTTGAGTAATGCCAATCTGTCAATGACTCCCCTGTGAACAGAGTGCTTTACCCTCATTGTGGAGGGAACAGAGGAGTGAGCATGTCTGTACCTGCACACTGATCGCAGCTTGGAAAGAAGATGAACAGTGCAATATTTTCATGTCTGGAATCTGTGGCAATTTCATATGGCAGAGATGATTATCAGTCCTAAATCCTCATGAATAATTCAGCCTGTGCAGCATGTCTTTGTTCCCTCTCCTTCCTCTTCTGAATCCATCCCAACATAATACACCATAAATTCAGCTATGACTCAAATTTTTTTCCTCAGCTAATAATGGAAGCCAAGAAAACTGTGCTGTGTTGTGTTGATTTGGATTCTTCTCACTGGGAAAGCCTGATGCCTACTCATAACAGATGGCGAGCCTGGCCATCTACTCACTTCTCGATTGTCTGTAGAATCACAGCCCTTTATGAGCTCCCTCTATTGAGATACAAGTCCCTCGACAATTATATTTGTTTTGATGTTAGGTAGTATATGTAGGGGTGGGGCCAGAGCAGTGGCCAGGGAGAGAAACCATGAAATCAGAGCTTAAACTGTATTCCAAATCAATCTCTAGAATGAGAGCATGACATTTTCTGTTATTTAATGACAAAAGAATGTTGTTCTTCTTGTTAAGGATTCCTTGCTGATTGTGTGTTTTCATATTAAATAGTCACTAAATTCTGCACCTGTGATATATGGAAACCTTCTCTTTGTCTGTATTCATTTATCTATAATGCAAAGGTTATTTTCTAATTGTTTTAATACAGCAATCAGTTTACCTTTCAAATAAATGTTAGATCAATTCTAATGTATTTTTATGTTGGTTTTATCACCTGCAGCTGGGATGGTGAAAAATTAGGTCAGTGTTTCAGCGTGACAGAAATGTGATACACTTTCATTAAATAACAGACAATTAAGTGACTGCATACATTTGCATTTATTGCATGAAAGAGGCCTATTCCAAAATGATCTAAAAGGTCAATGGTCACAGGGTTGAATGATAATTGTACTTCTTTGTCATTGTATCTAAAGGATGTGCTCAAGGATTTTTATTTATTTATTCATTTATTTATTGTTCGCAAACTACATCTTCTAAAATGCGCCGTTAAATCAGTACCTCTCTAAAACAGTCTGAACAAAAACTGAACATCGCCTTCGTGAAGGGAGGATTTATTACAGGACTGTGAGATCAAAGTTAGTACTGTTGCTTCATTAGAGTCACTAATGATGTACTTGATGTACTCATATCAACATGTCTAATACAGCTATTTACAAAGGAAAGTACTGAGTGAGAGATTAATGATGCAAAACCTGCAGTGTCATTTCAGACTGAGTGGTCTCATTCTAAATGTGTTTATGAGTAAAAGCACCTTCATTCACAGAAAATACCCTAGGCTCAAAAACAGTTTAATATCTTCACTGTTGAAGCAGCTGATTCTTCACAATATATCTGTCAGATTTACAACTGTCTATAAAATAACAATTTACGTTTACATTGTTAAACACTTTCTGGGGTGTTGCTTAATTCTAACTAACTATACATTTAGAATTAGCACATTACAGTTGTATGCCTCTGCCAACCAGTCAAAATCATGGGACATATATGAGGTCACTGTGACTTTGACCTTTGACCACCAAAATCTAATCAGTTCATCCTTGAATCGGTGCCAAATTTAAAGAAACAGCCTCAGGGCATGTCTGAAATATTTTGTTCACGAGAAGGGGATGAACAACTGGAAAACACAATGCCTCCTGCCACAGCTATCGCTGGCACAGGGGCATAAAAAAGTACACAAAGGCTGACATTCATGAAAACAAAATTCAAAAGAGTTTTTTTTCAAGGAAGTGCTTAGAATAAATTGGAAAAAATACTTAATCAGTAAATTAACTTATTTTGGATCTTGTTTTTTGTGTCAAACTCTCCTAATGGGTGTCAAAACAAATTAAAGCACTGGAGAAGAAGCACTTGATATGAGGGTCAACTGTGGATCAGACAAAGGCATCTTGACATCTGAAACTGTGATTGTGCATCAGCTAGTACTTACATGCAATACGGGCCTTGAGTTCTGCCTGATTAAACGGAGAACAAAAGAGATGCAAGGACGAACCATCCCTTTTACAGCTGTCCTTTGGGAGAATAGTCCAGGAAAACCTCCACCGTAGTAGCCATCCAGTGTTTAAATCAATAAGAAGCCTTGAAAGGAAAGAAGAGAAGCATAGATTTAATGACAGACTTAAAATGGACAAAACCTGAAAACAATAGGTAGTAAAATTTAATCTTATTAAGGCAACCAGTTCAGTTAATGACAACGTTTCAGACAAATATTTAAAAGTCAAATGAGCACTATATTTACTCAACATTATTACCTCCATTTAAATAACTCCATCCGTTTTGGCACAGGTTTGAGCAGGTTACCAGAAGGACAAAACAATACTGTAGCCTATGTGTAACTCATTTAGTCAATGTTCTCTGTGTTGCCCCTATCACAGCACGGATTAGAGCAAATATGCACATAGGTCGTCCATCCAGTAGATGGCACAGTCCAACCTGAAACCTTTAAAATCCCTCACCACTTAGATCCCTGTGTGACTCTCAGTGTTGTTAATAGTGCAGGAAATCAGCTACAATGTTAAGACAATGTTGGGTAATTGAAAATTGAATAAAAATTAATTAATTTATTAATTAATATATCAGTTATGTCTCGCGTTAATTTAACTGACCTGATGGACTACACTGACGCTTAAGATTGCGCGCATCATCCATCTCTCTCTCTCTCTCTCTCTCTCTCTCGCCCCTTAACGCAGGCTTGTGTAACTCTCTCCTCCTCTTTCCCAGCCCCTTCCTCTCACTCTCCTCGCATCTCTCTCCCTCTCGCACACTTCCTTCTTCATCCTGAGCCCATCAGAAGCTGTGAATGGGAGACGGTTCTGCGTATTGTACTCACGCCAGTCAGAGTGAGTGGAGACTGAGCAGAGCGCACAGCCACAGTCAGCGATCTTCTGGTGTCATGTAAAAACACTGGAAGAACAGCGGATATTTTTAAATAAAAAGTTAACTTTATAAGTACTGATATACACGTTTTTTTTATTTATATGATTTTCTATGTGCGCTAAAAATGGCCATGGCGCCTTTAACGCACTGCAGGTATTTAGTGTTTTGGGAGCTCAGTTAACAAAAACATGGATTAAAGAGCAAGTACTTTTCCCGTTACTTCAGGAGAACTCAAATGGCGGCACTTCGTAGGAAATTTGGCGAAGACTACCAGGTGGTTAACACTAATCGGGCTACCACTTCTTCTGCGCCAGTCAAGAAAAAACGACAGCGCTTTGTGGAGAAGAACGGTCGCTGCAATGTACAGCACGGAAACCTTGGGGGAGAGACCAGCAGGTACCTCTCTGACCTCTTCACTACTTTAGTAGACCTAAAGTGGAGATGGAACCTCCTCATCTTCATCCTAACTTACACCATCGCCTGGCTGGTCATGGCATTTATGTGGTGGGTCATCGCTTACATCAGGGGAGACCTCAATCACGGCCACGATTCGTCTTACACCCCCTGTGTGGCCAATGTTTACAACTTCCCCTCAGCTTTTCTTTTTTTCATTGAGACTGAGGCCACCATCGGCTATGGCTACCGGTACATTACAGAAAAGTGTCCGGAGGGCATCATTCTTTTCTTGTTCCAGTCGCTGCTGGGCTCCATAGTGGACGCTTTTCACATCGGCTGCATGTTCATAAAAATGTCCCAGCCTAAGAAACGCGCAGAGACGCTCATGTTCAGTCAGGACGCGGTGATTTCTCAGCGAGACGGCAAATTGTGCCTCATGTTCCGCGTTGGCAACCTGCGGAACAGCCACATGGTGTCCGCTCAGATCAGGTGCAAACTCATCAAGGTAAGCTGAAGCTGCAGGTTGCCTCTGATGATAAGAACTCCCTGAAAACTAACCGAAACCAGGATCTGTAGGGGCTGGGTTGAAGTTAGCAACATGCTGCAGATACATTACACCTTCTTTCACAGATAAAATAGTAGAATAAGAGTTACATGGAAATAAACATGCAGTATAATTTATTTTAACTTAGAGAGTCCCTGCTTCTGAAATGGACAGCACAGTGTTTCAGGCAATGTGGACTCCTTCACATACTGTAGGCCTGTGCAAATAGTGGAAGCTTAGGGGAAAGGGGAAAACAGCCATTTACACAATGACTGCACTCTTGACTGGAAATTTACACAATGACTGCACTCTTGACTGACAGCTTGTGTCTCAGAGGAAACTTTGGTGCCTTTACTTTCCTCCATCTGAGCCCAGAAGGAAGAGAAACAGTTGCTTACTGCGCATCAAATGTTAATATTAACATTTCAACTCAAATCTTAATTGTTAGCAGGTCTCGCTGCACGATGCATGCTTTGTTCAACAAAATATGTGGCTTTACCATGATCCTTTAGTTGCAGGATGGTCAGGGTCTGTGTAGCCTCATGCATGTCAAACCACTGAGATAACAAAGCAAAGGGAGTGTTGGTCAGGAACACTGCATTGTGGTTAGTGGACACCGTGCCCATCATCAGTTCCACTTCACTTGGTGACACCAGCACAGTCAGGTGTGTACCAGGAAATGGATGAAACTGAAAGATGTCCCTCTGAGGAAGAAAGCTAGGTTTAGTGAAACAGTGAGAGTGAACATGCACAGCCACAGATCACAATAAAAAGCACTCCTGGGAGACAGTATAAAGGCATAAATGGTCTTTATGACATTCATATAACATTGATTTCCATATTTCCTTATGGTTCATTATTTTATCTTCACTGAGATATAAAATGCATTACCTAGCATCATTATGGCTGCAACAAAACTCTCAACAAGTAGTAAAACAAAACCCCACCACCACCAACTGTGCCACACTGGTTACCCACTAATGAAGAACTCAGCAGCTTTGGGGGGAAATATAGCTAATGAACCTCGGACTCTGAAAACAAGCAACAATGCAGAAAATTACAACAAACAGTAGCAAGGTTGGCTGGCTCCTCTTTTAATTATTATAATAGAGCTCCTCTCAACCACAACCACGTTCAGTGTGCAAAATGGGCCATAATGAAGACAACCAGCATTAGTGAGGTGTTTAGAGCTTGTTTATATCCGTGGTCTCCTCCACACAGCTACATCGAGCACAGCATTGGTCAGCTTAATGATGCATGCATGCAGGCAGGCAGGCAGCGAGGGAGGCAGGGAAGACTGAGCTATTCCACAGTTACAAACATGGACGAAGTGAACAGCCCCATAGACCTCAGGTACAATCACACGTCTACTGATTTCCCTTGTCTCTCTGAGCCAGGCTGAGCCATGAGGTCTCAGCATCTCAAAGAGACTCTTCTCCATCTATGTTACTATGATATTTTGAATTGTAGTGCATCACCACATTGGAACAGTAATAAATAGTCTGGTTTAAGTGTGATAAAACTGAAATACAGTCATTTTTAAAGCATGGCACTCACAACTAAAAGAGAAATGATCAGGATTCGTGTTACTTTCAAAAGAAGGGCAACAAGCCAAAGGAGATAAGAGCAGATATGACATCACAAATCACTGAAGTGCCAGGAATCTTTCTGTGGTAAAGCCATGGTCCTTTTACCTTTTTCTGGCCTCCAAAAAATATGATAAATCCATGACCTCTCTGCCAAACCCACAACATTTTTACACTCCCTACCTCTCCCTACCTACAATAAATACAGCATCCACTGTGTGCTCCACTGTTTTTGTTTTTCACTCCAGGGCTTTGTGATCCAACCGTATTCTTTCACTTCAAAGACTCTCTTACCGAGACAGAATTATTGCAGCAGCTGTGAGTGCAATACACAAAAAACAAAAGAATAGTGACTTGTCATGCATCAACAAAAGCACAGTTCACACTGAACATACCCTAAGATATAACACAATACATATAATATTGTTTAAATAAACCTTATACCTCATGCAATTAAATAAAAATAAACTGAAGTCATCATATTCTAGACTGAATGTTTTCAGTGCAGTCCCTGTATAGAAATATTGGTGGTGCTGTTGAACTGCAGCCCTCTTCGTGCCTCATTTAAAATACTCTGGCAGAGGAATCATTTTAACTGGAGACAGCGTGAGAGGGACAGAGTTTGAGAAAAGGCTTTTATGATGACTTGTTCATCAGGCTGCATCTGAAACAGTAAATCAATAGCTGTCACATAAAATCTGTTTCATCTGCCCTCAAATCAAAGAAAAATAATTTCTCTGGCACCAACTTACACTATAAAAATGTGATTTTTTTTTTTTGTATTCTGAAACTTTTGCTGTTTGTTAGGTGGCTGCATTTTAATCTTTGGTCAAAGTATGATGTATATACAACCTTTAAGTTCTGCACTATAACCTCAGTTCTGTGATTGTGGTCCAGGTCCTTTAATGGGACTCTACAGACCACTCACCTTTGCAGATATACTAGAATACAGAAGCTCTACATGTATAAAGACTGGTTTAGTTAGGTCTCTGCCTGTAAAAGGATTGTCTTAACTCCATTCTCTGTCAATTAAAAGATTAGGCGACATCATTGTTGACTCATATGGAGTCAGAGTAAATGGCTGCCCTTTGCCACTCATGGACCTGTGGCATATGGGCATCTTTACCATATAGTTGCCACTGAAATGTGTTGTTTCCATACATTGTGTTCCTTATTCGAGTGTTACTCAAGATGGTAAAGTTATATCTGAAAGAATCAGCACACCATTGACTATGATGATCAGTTTTTCCTCGTATGAAGTTCTTTTCTGTAGTTGCGTTGGAGTAGAAAACACCTCCTCTACCAGTCAAAAGCTTGCTCACACTTTTCCATTCATTTCATTGTGAAAGTGACTTTTGTTTCCTGGGAGAATCAAAACAAACGTGATTGGTTGTCTCTACGTTGTTCAAAGTACATGCCCACAAACAGTTCTCAGCCTCGCGCTGCAGGGTAGCTTTTGAGCATCTGAATAGCGGTGGCCAGCAGCAGCATGTTTTTCAGGTTCAATTGGCAATGAATAGATTTTATGAATAGATTTTTTTTATTTGTTGTATTTGTGAAAATGGGTGCCTGTTGTCAGACTTTACCTTCTTCCAATGAGCAAGGGTTATAATATGCAACCACTTTCTGTTTACACAGGCTTCACCCTCAATGGGGAGAAGGCAAACAGCACCTTTTTTCTAGTCAAGCTGGTCTCTACACAGAAAATCAAATTAAATAATCATCACATCACGATGAGGGTCGGGTTTTTCTCAGTTATAACTACTGGATTTGATGTAATTACTTACCAAATCATAAAAGAAAGTGTTCCGATTGGCCACGTTTGAAGGTGTAGTCAAAAGCCAGCGTTCATAGAGAGAAAAGATATCATTTAAATATGAGGATAACGGTGCATATGTTGAGACACCTGGACACCGTTCAGTGTGTTGCAGGACATGAAAAGTGACAGAAGTAGTTGTATCAACAATGAAAAGAGGAAACCTGAGAACAAAGTTCAAACCCTGTATTCTTTGTCATCTCTGAACATCTGGTCAATCACATCAGGAAGTGGTTGTCTCAGATTGTCAGCTTTGTAAAGTTATCAAAATGATCCACCAAACCAAATTAATCCTATTAATTATGGTGAAATGGCAATAAAGTTTTGAATCTTGTGTCCAGCTTCGGTGCAGTTGATGGGGGTTCCTCAAGCTACTGTACGAGTATTTAGGAAGAAGCATACTGGCCACCTAAATCTCAGTCCTGTTCATGTGGGTGGGGATGCAGCAGGCACAAAAGTAATCATAGCGCAATACAGTGTAAGAAGATAATAAATGACCTTTGGTGGGCCTCTGACCATCTGCCCACGCCTAGGTACACAGTTTTGGTATTCCCTGTCTCTATGGTGATTCCAAAAAGTGCTTCTGCATGTACATGAGTGTGGATAGGTTCATTGTGAGCAGACACATGCAGTTATGAGGCTAGTCAATTCTAATGAGCCCTGTTAAATGTCAAAGCCACTTGTTGGTGCTGGACAGTATGTAGGTGTAGCAGAGCTCTTATCAACTGTCATGGGTGATTACTGAATGACAGCAGAAAGAAGGAAGAGACAGACCTGTGGGAGCTGTCATACAAGAGTCTCACCACAAACAGTTGAAATCCAGCTTTGCAGGGCATCCATGACAGCCTCAGAAGGCATCCTGGTGGAACATCCTCGCTGAAAATATGACTCTGGTATTACCGGAAGGGTGGGAAGAGGGTGAGAGAGAGAGAGAAGGAGTTGACTGAATGTGACAGAAAGTGGTGAAAAACTAGAGAGAGACTCACAGTAAAAGAGAGGAGACATAAAAAGAATTACAGATTATCTCTTGATATTTATATTGCATGAGTGGTCACTTCTAGTTCAGAAGGAAGACAAACCATCTTGGCTCTGTATCTTCTCAAAGGATTTCAGGGTACGCTACAAATACTAGTCAGGAGAACTAGAATTGATTTCCATTTCTTTTCTACTAGGCATAGAGATGGAGTTGTGGAGGACTGGAAAAAGTCCTTGAAGCCTTGCAGTCACTGAATAGTGATGCCCAGGACCAAAATCTTAAGAATCTGGACTACTCGTGCTCCTTTTTCTTGTGGTTGAATTATTGATGTTATTCAGTTATTGAATAGGATATTTTGCTCAAAATTGCACAACCTCACACAAACAGTGTACAAACAAAAACTAATTTTTACAAATTTTTCTGACCTTGGTTTCCTCGCTAGGTTTTCTTTCAGAGGCATTAAAAAAGAGCATGTGTGAGGTGGAGTGTGTACTATTTGTAATGCCTGAGCCAGCAGGCCAAAGTCAAAAATTCACTAGCACTAAAGTATCCCTTTTTATTTTTGAATAAACTCTACATTTTC